CGCAGCAACACGCCTCCGGGCTCCCCTCGCTGGCCTTCGCTTCTGCTGTTTCTGCTGCTTGGGCTGCCGCTGCAGTTGCCACTGTTGCTGCAGCAGCTGCTGCTGTTGGTGTTGCTGCTGCTGCTGTCGCAGCAGCAGCAGCTGCTGCTGCTTGCTGCTGCTTGCTGCAGCCTCTTCAGTCGGAGACTTAAGGAGGCCTCGGCCTATGGCATGCAGCAACTGCACATTGCTGCTGCTGCTGCTGCTGTTGCTGTTAATCTTTCTGCTGCTGCTGCTGCTGCTGCTGCCGCTGCTGCTGCTGCTGCTGCTGCTGCAGGTTGTCTGGCGCAGCAAGAGCGAGGGGCGGAGAGCAAAGCCAATGGGGGCCGCCCGCGGAGGCCCCGCTGCTGCAAGTAACCAGCGAGCATCGTTGCTGCTGCTGCTGCTGCTGTTGCTGCTGCTGCTGCTGCTGTTCTTGCTGCTGCTGCTGCTCCAGCTGACGCCATCCGCTGTCTCCAAGAGCAGCAAAGGCAGCAGCAGCAGCAGCAGCAGCACTGCAAGTCTACGCACCCCACGACCGAAACGGCTGATGCTGCAGCAGCTGCTGCTGTTGCTGCTGCTGCTGTTGTTGCTGCTGTCGTTGTTGCTGTTGCTGTTGCTGTTGTTGCTGCTGTTGTTGTTGTTGCTGCTGTTGCTGTTGCTGTTGCTGCTGCTGCTGAAGGTTTGGGCCATGTTCAGCAGCTGCTGCCGAGTCCTTGCTGCTGCTGCTGCTGCAGCAGCAGGAGCTGCTGCTGCTGCTGCTGCTGTCTGTGTCTCCACAGCTACTTTGCTGCTGCTACCGCCCGAGGCTGCTGCTGCGGCGCGGCCCCCCCATGAGCATCTTCTGCAGCTACAGCAGCAGCAGCTACAACAACAGCAGCAGCAGCTGCTGCTGCTGCAGCTGCCGCTGCTGCCATAGCTGTCTCCTCTGCTGTGGGGTCTCCACTGCTGCTGCTGCTGCTGCTGCTGCTGCTGCTGCTGCAGTGAATTCTGCTGCTGTTGTTCCTGCTGCTGCTATTTCGGTGCTCTGGTGGCGTTTGCTGCTATTGCTAGTGCTGCTGCTGCTGCTGCTGCTGCTGCTGCTGTAGCCAGGCTGCTGCTGCTGCTGCTGCTGCTGCGCTTGTCTGCTGCTGTCTCTCTCCTTAGAGCGGTGTCTTCTGCATATTACGGCTCTTATGTAAACAAATGGAGCAGCAACAGCTGTTTCTGCTGCTGCTGCTGCTGCTGCTGCTGCAGGAACAGCAGCAGCAGCAGCAGCGATTTCGTCGGCTTGTCGGGGCCTCGTATGAACTGCTTGCATGTAGGGATTTATATATTTATTTATTTTATTTAGTTTATTTATTTATTTATTTTTATTTTGTTTTGTTTGTTTTTTTTTATTATTTCGTTTGCTTTATGTATAGGCTCTAAGCTAACCGCCTACCAGCGCTCCTCCCCTTCTCTCTGTCGATGTAAGGGTTTAGGGTTTATATGAGGGTTTAGGGTTTAGGGTTTATGTGAGGGTTTAGGGTTTAGGGTTTGAATAAGGGTTTAGGGTTTATATGAGGGTTGAGGGTTTAGGGTTTATGTGAGGGTTTAGGGTTTAGGGTTTAATCAAGGGTTTAGTGTATAAAGGGTGGTTTAGGGTTTAGGGTTTTTTACGAAAGGGTTTAGGGTTTGCATAAGTGTAAGGCCTTAGAGTCATCTAGGGTTTAGGGTTTAGGGTTTAGGGTTTGGGGTTTAGGGTTTGGGGTTTAGGGTTTGGGGTTTAGGGTTNGGGTTTAGGGTTTAGGGTTTAGGGTTTGGGGTTTAGGGTTTGGGGTTTAGGGTTTGGGGTTTAGGGTTTGTTTTCCTGCCGCCCATTTGCTTCTTCACAAACAACCGAAGGCTGCAGCTAGCCACAGCTAGCTATAGCTAGCTACAGCTAGCCATAGCTAGCTGTACAAGCTAGCTGTGCGTGCTCGCTATAGCTAGCTATAGCTAGCCAGAGCTAGCCACAGCTAGCTACAGCTAGCCAGAGCTCTCTATAGCTAGCCAGAGCTAGCCAGAGCTAGCCAGAGCTACACTGGCTAGCTGTGCGTGTTAGTTGTAGCTAGCTATAGCTGTGGCTAGCTATATCTATATTTCGTTATACTATAGCTAGCTGTTGCTAGCTCGAACAGCTAGCCATCGCTACCCACAGCAGCTAGCCATAGCTAGCTGTAGCTAGCTGTAGCTAGCCATAGCTAGCTGTTGTTAGCGTCTACGCGTGTTGGGGGGTTGTGCAGACGCCAAAGAGAAAAATAAAAATAAAAATAAAAATAAAAATAAAAAAAACCAAGACAAAGACAAAGACAGGGATACAGAGACAGAAGACAACGAGCAGCAGCAGCAACGATCGAGAAATATTTAAATATATATATATATATATATATATATATATATATATATATATATATA